GTTTAATGATATGCAATTAAACCAAGCAAATTTGTTCTTTTTTTTAAATTCAAATGTAGCGCTAGCATGCTAGTGCTACATTCTAATGAAATATAGGTTACACAAAGAAAGGGAACAGCTGTTCAAATTCACACACAAACACATATACATATATATATGTGAATAATATTATATATGCTATATACATTCTATATATTAGAATGTAGTGTTCAAAAGGAAAAGCATGTCGGGGGAAAAAAACCTAGAGCAAATGTTACGGCATGCTTCCTGTGAAATATTTACATTTATAAACCTCCCATATTTACAGTATATTCAGATTATTTTGTTGAAATATTTGAACTTATAGAATAATAACAAAAATAACTAGATAAACTTTACAGAATCATCTGCTTTACTTTATTTTGTTTTACTTTGAAAAGAACTTGTCATTTGTCTGCGGCTCGTTGGCTGAGATAAGCTTCAATTTTATGCCGAATGTCACAGTGAAAAGGTGCCCTGTGTTAAACCCAGCCAACCTTTTTCCTACTGAGGAGGACGCCTTTCCACCTGGACTGTACACTGTTGATCTGGGCTTATGCAGTTTTGCTTTTTGCCATAGATTTTTGAAAGTTGCATCTGTGATGACTGTCATATCAGCACCAGTGTCAATTTTAAATTTAACAGGACTACCATTCACCAGCAGTTTAATGTCCCAGTTGATGTCTTAATTTTGACTCCTCGATGACATTTGATAAACTATGAAGCGCCTTGAGATGACATGTGTTGTGGAATTGATAGAAATAAACTTAATTTTAATTGAAATTGACTTTGCTGCACTACAGAACACTTCAACAATAAAGAATAAATCCTTATCTGAGCTTATAGCAGTTTCAGCTCGGACTTGTTTTAGCATTTTAGTTTTACTCATGGCTTCAAAATGTCCCATTTTGTTACATTTTCTGCATCTTTATTTTGGGCAGGACAGTTTTCTGTCATGCATCCTATTGCATCTCTGACAGTTCTATGTATTTTCGCTGTATGTCTGTGCTTGTTTCTGCCATGGTCTCACAAAGCTCCTCTTTGTGCTGTTAAATTGTTTCTGTCTCACCTCATTCACTGTAGGTTCGACACGATCTGCACTTTGCTGTTTCTTTGAAGTTTTTGAGAAACTTCCTTATCCATTATTCCAAAAATGATCCGGTCCCGAATCTACTCATCTGTCTAGGCGCCGAAATCGCAGATCTGTGCGAGCTCATATAAGCTCAGCATGAAGTTTCGATGTGACCCTGAAGCTGGTGAACCTCTGTTGTCAGATCAGCCACTCTGCAGGCTGTGTAAAGTCAAATGGCTCCGGAGGTCCAAACTTTGCCATTGTGCTCTCCATGAAGAAGTCCCTAAAGCTTAAACTTAAATTTTGCATAAACAGTAGAACTCATCTCACGACATGTTCTGCACTAAATCGTTCAGTTTATTAATGCCACTTTTACTTAAGAACAATTCCTGCTATTCTATCCATATCTGCTTAACTCTGTTAAACTCAACTCAACTTTATATATAAAGCCCTTTAAAACAACCACAACTGCCACAAAGTGCAGTACATATCAGGTAAAGTTTAAATTGTACAAAAACAGCAAAGATGTATCCAGGAATAAAACAAATATAATGAAATTAGTTAATTAAAAAAAAAAACATAAAAAAAAATAAAACAAACCACAAAACAGTCCCATGCTGTGTTAAAAGTCAAAGAAAAAAAAAAGGTTTCAAGATGAGTTTTAAAAATAGACAGTGAAGAGGATTGTCTAATGAGGAGGAGGAGCAGCAACTGAAAAACCTCTGTCTCTGAGCTTCTGTTTGGACTTCAGCACCTCCAGCAGTGAAAGCTGGTCCCCACTAGGGGGAGGAGGCACTCTGACACAACTTAAGTGGTGAAGAATCTAAGGAGGGTCAACCCAAGGAAGGCCCCAGGCTCCCATAACATAACTGGGTGTTCAAGGAGTGTGCAGATCAGCTGAATGGTGTCCTATCAGACATTTTTAACACCTCGCTGGACCGATCCATAGTGCCAATATGCTTTA